TGCCTTCGCCGACTTTTCATTTTACAAGCCCATCTCTAGCTGTGCCTGACACCTGTCAGCTGTGATAGATGAATGAAAGCAAGGTGTCAGCAGGGCAACAGGCAGACCAGGGCCAACAGTGGCCTCTGTAGGCAGGACAGGGGGCAAGTGCAGGCTGTGCTGTTATATTTGAAGGCTTTATTCAAGACAAACTGTCTGACCTTCTTGCCCTGTGTGATCCATGATGTATCACTGCTCAAGATGACACCCCAAGAGGCAGGAGAGGGTGTGGGCATGCTCAATCCAAGCAATAATACAGTTTCTCCAGGTCATACGAACATTTCATTGCCTTGACGACTTGCTTGAGTGGCAACACAAATTGTTGCATCAGTGTTTGACTTTTGAGGCCACACTAAACTCAGGCTTGTCATCATTCTGTCTGCACTGACAACACATAAATACTTATGGTCAGGCTGCTTGTGAACGAATAGCCTCTGTGTCTCATTTACACACACCACTAACACATTCATTGTGTGACACTGAGTTTGCATGCGCACAAGAATCCAAAGAGCATGAGTGTGGGTGCTTGCATGTATTGGTTTCAGCATGTCTGTGCCAATGTACAAAGATGACACAGTGGGGAAACTACACTTTTTATGAGAAGATGTGTGTGTATAATTATTGTTTAATTGCTTGCCCTGTGATGTGCTGTCATCTGTCACAGCTCACAGACAGCAAATAATGGTTCCTCTGCCATCACTTTGTCACCCAGACGCTCAGCATGCACAGAGCAGCAGAAACAGCAGTAAATGATATACGTCTTGAATTACTGATAAGCACTCAAGTATGATGAGCTTTGCGTACAGGGGTGTTCTTTTGTCAGGTATTTTGGTTTCCCATTGTCTCTTGGTCCATTGTGATTGTGCAGTGTACATAACGCCGTGTGCATGAATGTGACAGTAAGAATATTTATGTTTATTGGTTCTGGCTGTTTTGAAGCATATTTCATTTCTTTTCAAGTGGTGTTCTGTGTAAATTTTGTGAACAATTAATATATTTCCTGTTATGGATAGATCTGTGACCAACGTCCACTTAGTGAATGAGATTGATGAGCTAATAACTAATGTGAATAGGGTCAAGACCAAAGTGGGTTGCTGTTTAATTTCAACAGTTTTGCTATATGCATCTATTCTATCAGAAATATTTAGATATTTCTGCCAAAGGTGATCCAGGCTATATAGGAAATGCCTCTGAGCTTAAATTTGAACACCGAATTCTCTGAATTGCAAAATTAGTGGCAATGTAAAGATTTATGAAAAAAATAAAATTAAATTGTTTGTAAACAGTTGTGATTTTTTTGAGATTGGACTTGTTCCAAAATAGCAGCTATCCACTGTGGTCTTCTTGACCCTGCTCAGACTATCTGTTAGCTCATCAATCTGGTCAGAATTCAACATTTTCTGTCCAACTGAGTCCATTCACAGCGCTATTCACACCAGGAAATATACTGTATTAATTGTTGATGACCTTTTCAGTAAATACTACTTTAGCTGAGCTAATGCTTTAAGAAATGGAGAGGATAAAGTGGTGGGAGTTAAACAGGAGGCTGAAGGTTTATAAGCATATGTGTGTGTGTGTGTGTGTGTGTGTGTGTGTGTGTGTGTGTGTGTGT